AAAATTTAAACTAAATATATCAACTTTTATATTTTGATTTAAAATTTGAATTTAATGATTTTAAAAAATATATTTTTTTATTTGTCTTATAATAATTTTCAATTTATAATATTAATACAATATTATTTTTTATCTTAAGATTTAAACTAAATACATCAACTTTAATATTTTAGTTGTATTCAAAGTTTGAATTAAATTTTCTAAAAGAATCTTTTCTTTATTTTTATCTGTCTAAAAATAATTGTCAGTTAATAATAGTAATACAATATTATTTTTTTCTATTAATATATTTTCATTCATTAACTTTGATTCTATTAATATAATTAATTAAAAAATTGATAATAACATTAATTCATTATTGTAAATAATATAGTTTAAATATAATATTATTTATGGTTGTGGAGACCAATTTTTTAGAGTTTTATCGATATTTTTTTCTTTTTTTTTAGAATAAATAAAATTTGATGGCGACTCTATTATCATCTCGAGCGTGCAAACTCATTGTATTTTTTGCACCGTGATACAAGTTATGATGATTTCATTAGGTGGTGTCAAAATAATCAAAACTCTAGTTCTACTACTTTAGTTACACATACCGGTAATGCATATGTTTGCCTCTCTCAACCATCTTCTCTTGGCCCTTAGATCCTTAATTCTGGTGCGTCTGATTATGTTACTTGTAATAAAAGTCTTTTCTCTTTCCTCTCTACCTCTGATTTCTTACCTACTATAACTTCTGCCAATGACTCTCAAACCCGATCCGAATAGATTGATACTGTTCAAATTATACCTTTTCCCTCTGTTACTTTTGTTCTCTATGTACCTAAATGTCTATTTAATTTACTTTTAGTCATGCGTTTAATACTTTCTCTTGATATTATTGTCACCCTCACTAACGGTAATGTTACCCTGCATGATCGAAGTTTGGGATAGAAAATTGACGTCAGATGTGAGTCTTAAGGCCTTTACTACCTCTCTGTGTCATCTAAGACACGCTCAACCGCAAATTCTCCACTCACTATCCATGCTCAGTTAGGTCATCCAGGTCTTCCTAAATTACATAAGTTGGTGCCAAGTTTATTCATTTTCTAATTTACATTGTGAATCGTGTCAGTTAGGGAAACATACTCGTAGTCACTTTCCTGGTCGAGTCAATAAACGAGCTTCTTCCCCTTTTGCTTTAGTCCACTTTGATGTTTAAGGACCCTCACATATTGTCTATACTTTTGAGTATAGGTACTTTGTATCCTTTATTGATGATTTTTCATGTTGCACATGGTTGTATTTAACGAAGAATAGATCTGAATTCTTTTCTATTTTGAACATTTTTATCAAGAAATAAGAACTCAATTCGGTGTGTCTATCTGTACCTTAAGAAGTGACAATTCGTGTGAATATTTATCCCAATAATTTCAAATTTTATGTCACACAATGGTATTCTCCATCAAACATCTTGCTCTGACATGCCTCAATAAAACGGGGTAGCCGAACAAAAAAATTGGCATCTCATAGAAACCAATCAGACCTTACTTCTCTATGGTAATGTTCCACTTTGGTTTTGGGGGATGTTGTGCTAACGACATGTTACCTTATAAATCGCATTGCCTCATATGACCTTAACAATAAAATCCCTTATTTAATCTTTTTTCCCAATTCCCGACTTCACCCAATTCCTCCCCGAGTCTTCAGGTCCACATGTTTTATACATAATATCTCTCCTGATCTTGATACTAAAAGGTTATCATTCCTATTCACATACTTTACAATAATACCTCATATCGGACGATGTTACCTTCTTCAAGTCTGTTACATATTTCGAGTTCAATCACGTAACTTTGAAACCCCTTTAGGAAAGTACTCTTATACCTCTTCCAATAGTTATTAATGTCTCATCTACCATTATTCGTCATCAGTCTATGCATCCTGGCCTGCCCCACTTCTCCACCACTTCCAACATATCAGCGTCGTCACTCGACGTTTGTCGTCCCTGTCCCTGAGGTCATACATGTTCATGAGGTCATTGCAGACTCTCCTCTAACGCCCTCGCTATCACCAAATTGATCATTTCACCTGAGTCTGATCTTTTGATTCCCCTTCAGAAAGTTATACGTCAAACATGAAATCTTTCTCCACATTATATTGATGTATGTTATCACTATCTTTCCCCTTTGCATTATACTTGCTTGTCTTCTTTGTCTTATGTTTCTATTCTTAAAACTCCACGTGAAGCGTTATCTCACCCTGAGTAAAGGCAGACAATAATATGATGAGATGTATGCTCTTCAAAGCAATGGTACCTAGGAATTGGTTCCTCTTCCCCTTGGGAAATCTTTGGTAGGTTGTCACTGGACTTATATAGTGAAGGTTGACCTAAATGGTAAGATTGATCGATTCAGAACTCGCTTGGTAGTCAAGGGACACACTCAGATTTTTGGGTTGGATTATAGTGATACTTTATCTCCTGTGGCCAAGATGACATGAGTTTGACTTCTTCTCTCCATTGCAGCCATTCGACACTGGTCTCTTCATCAAATTGACATCAAAAATTCATTTTTACATGGTGATCTTGAAGAGGAAGTATATATGGAGCAACCACCTAGGTTTTTTGCTCAAGGGGAGTCATCGAATATGTCTCTTTATCGTCTTAAGTAATCTTCGAGAGATTGGTTTGATAGATTTAACACTATAATACAACAATTTGGTATGGTCTGTAGTGAAACTGGTCATTTTGTGTGTTTATCGTTACTCAGTCTAAGAGTATATTTATCTTATTGTGTATGTAGATGATATTGTCATAACTGGTAGTGATCAACAAGGAATACCTCAGTTAAAACAATATCACTCAAATCAATTTCAGAAGAAAAAAAAAACCTTGGTAAACTTCGTTATTTATTGGGCATAGAGGTAGCTCAATCTAAAGATGGTTTGGTGATTTCTTAGTGGAAATATGTTATGGATATTTTGGAAGAAACAAGTTTGTTGAACGCTAAACCAGCTGATACCCATATATGGATCCATGTAATTCTTATCCAATCAAGGGGAGCCTCTATCTGACTCAATAAGGTATATGAGATTGGTTGGAAAATTGAATTATCTCACAATCATTCGCCCAAACATTTCTTTTGTAGTTAGTGTGGTAAGTCAATTCTTAAATTCTCCTTGCCAATAACACATGGATGTTGTTGTCCGGATTTTGAGAAACATAAGATGTGCTATAGGAAAAGGCCTCATGTATGAAGATAAATGACATACTCATATAGTTGGATACTCCAATATTGATTGTGCATGGTCACCTATTGATAGACGATCTGCCTCTGGGTATTGTGTACTTGTTGGAGTGAACCTTATATTTTGGAAAAGTAAGAAACAAAATATTGTTGTAAGATCAAGCGTCGAGGCAGAGTATTGGGTCATGGCAATAGTAACATGTGAACTCATTTAGTTAAAACAATTGCTCAAAGAACTCCAAATTGAAGAAGTAAGACCAATGACACTTGTTTGTGATAATCAAAATGCATTGTACATCACTTCAAATCCAGTCTTCCATGAGAGAACCAAACATATTGAGATAAATTGTCAGAAAGAAGATTGAATCAGACGACATTGTCATAAACTTTGTCAACTCTAATGATCAATTGACATATGTGTTTACAAAATCCCTACGAAGTTTCAGAACTGATTATATGTGTGGCAAACTTGGTGCATTTGATTCATATGCCCAAGCTTGAAGGGGAAAGTTGATATTTGTAAATATATAATGTTAAAAATATTTGTATAAAATTGTCTCACATCAATTATATCATGTAATTAGTTATAATCTCTCTCTTTATATAATACAGTCTCTCTGTAGTGATTTTCAAAACACACCATTTAATTCAAATACCTCTTAATTTCTCTCACCTCAACCACATATATTAATATTGTCGAGCAATAAGATAGAAAATTTAAATTTGTAGTGTTTCCAAATTAAATATTTTAACATGTTAATAAATATGAAATGAGAGAAATAATTTTTAATTAAAATGATACATGAAAAAAAGTATAAAAAATTATAAACTTAAATATTACTATTAAAATATATTATAAATTAGTAATAAAAAAAGCTATAAAGATGAGAAAAGCATACCATAGAAACCCATTTTGATCATAAATTCTTTTGATCATAAATATAATAAACTATTGAATTAAATAAGGAGAAATAAATGTACTTATTTTAAAATTTAAACTAAATAACCAACTTTTATATTTTGATTTAAAGTTTGAATAAAATAATCTTTTTATCTTTATTTTTTTATAAAATAGTTATAAGTTTATAATATGAATATAATATTTTTATTTTTTATTTTTATATATTTTTATCTTAAAACATAAACTATATACATCAACTTTAATATTTTATTATATTCAAAGTTTGCATTAAATTTTTCTAAAAATATCTTTTATTTTATTCTTTTTTCTGTCTAAACATAATTGTCACTTATTATGGTTTTTTTCTCTATATATATTCTTTTGTTCATTAAGTTAAATTTTGTTAACTATAATTAGTAAAGAATTTGTAAATATTATTAATTTAACAAAATTATTGCAAATAATGTAATTTAAATATGATATTATTTATGAGAGTGAATTAAAATAAAATATAAAATAAAATAAAAAGCTATAAGCTATAATAAGCTCATAGCTAAAGGAGTGTTAATAGTATTGAAATGAGAATGGTCCATTTTGTAATAAGTATATTGAAAAGTGATTCTAGATTTGTAGGGCAACCAAACAAAACCCACCAAAGTTTCTAATCTTTGAACCATTCTCCCTACCCTTTAACATTCCCACACGTGTCATTACACACCCCTTCACTCGTGCCGCTTTCTTCGGTTTCACACGTGCCAGTTTTCCCCTACTTAGTCTCCTCATGTTCTATCCCTCCTTCCCATTCATCTTTCAAATCAAATCTCTCTCTCTCTAGAATTGTTTCTCTCTCTAGAATTCACTCTCGCTCCACCATGGCGTCACCGACACCGTTGTTGAAAGATGAACTCGACATTGTGATTCCGACGATCAGGAACCTCGATTTCTTGGAGATGTGGAGGCCATTTTTCGAGCCTTATCATCTCATCATTGTGCAAGATGGTGACCCTTCGAAGACGATTAAGGTGCCGGAAGGGTTTGATTATGAGCTGTATAATCGAAATGACATTAACAGGATTCTTGGTCCTAAGGCGAGCTGTATCTCGTTTAAGGATTCTGCATGTCGGTGCTTTGGGTATATGGTTTCGAAGAAGAAGTATATCTACACCATTGATGATGATTGCTTTGTGAGTTTTTTGAATTTTGCAATTTCCAAAATTTCAGATCTTGATCTGGTTTTTTTAATTTTGAATTTTGAATTTTTGTTCTTGAGGTGTGTGATATATTGGAAATTTTGGATCTCGTTGCGGTTTTCTAGATCTTTGTTTTATTGTTGTTTCATGAATTGGATCTTCATTTGTTGAGATTTGATATAATGATAGTATTATTGACACTACAATGACACTCATCACGATACTGATATGCGACGATGTCTCAAATTCGACACCGACATTTGAGACCCAATTAATTAATTTATTTATTAAAATTATTATTGGTGGACACCTATTGGTGTCTTGTTATAGGTGTCCACGTTGTTTCATAGGAAACATGTTATGTCTCAATTATGTGCTACATAGTTCTTAAGTGTATATTTGGATGACCATGAGTTTGAATAAAATTGCTTTGAAAAACCATACCAATTCAAAAGATTCAAATAGATGCTTCATTATTTTAATGTTAACATGGTTTTGGACAATGTTTTGATTTTCTAATGTAAATTCAAACACATACTAACTAATGTTAAATTTAAGATTTGGAATTTTGGTTAGATTTAGGGATTTGATTAGGTGTGACTGATGCCACACAATCAGCTAATCATGTCCATATCTCAATGCATATTTTGATTTTAAATCTAAAATGCCGAGATTGAAATGTGAATTGTTTGGTCTAATATGGACATGATTAGCTATGACACACCATCCGCCAATCATGACCATATCTCACCGGGTTGCTGCGACTGAGCACAATCTTTTGGAGTTTGTATCTGGTACATAATAATGTGAAATAAATTGAATCATTCGCTACTGATTGGACTCTGATGTCTTTCAGCCATGTCTACTATTAACATTGGCTTTATTGTTTATGTTATTAGTTATGTAAACACATTCTAGGATTTCATAAATATACACACTTCTTTGTTGCTACTCTATTTATTTGAAATGTTAGAATTCATAATGATTTATTCTAATTATATATTTTGTTGTTGTTGGTGTGATTTAGGTTGCCAATGATCCATCAGGGAAGCAGATCAATGCACTTGAGCAGCATATCAAGAACCTTCTCTGCCCATCAACACCTTTCTTTTTCAACACCCTCTATGAGCCTTACAGAGAAGGTGCAGATTTCGTCCGTGGCTACCCCTTCAGTCTCCGTGAAGGTGTACCGACTGCTGTTTCTCATGGTCTTTGGCTCAACATCCCTGATTATGATGCTCCTACTCAGCTTGTGAAGCCTCTCGAGAGGAACACTAGGTACATTTACTACCACTCGTACTTGTAAACATTTAAATAATTCAATGATTTTGATTATGAATTTAGAAGATTGATTCTGAGTGTCTGTGATTGTTACTTTCTAAGGTATGTGGATGCTATTCTGACCATTCCTAAAGGAACTTTGTTTCCCATGTGCGGAATGAACTTGGCTTTCGATCGTGAGCTCATTGGACCAGCAATGTACTTCGGTCTCATGGGTGATGGTCAGCCTATTGGACGCTACGACGACATGTGGGCTGGCTGGTGTATCAAGGTCAGTTGTTGGCTCTTTCTCTCTCTTATTTCTATTGAAAAAAATATTCAGGGTTTTATTTAGACCCTGTTTTGATGAACACTTAATTAAGTGCTTAATTGAGATATTTCAATGATGATTGTGTAGGTAATCTGTGATCACTTAGGATTGGGAGTCAAGACTGGACTTCCCTATATCTTCCACAGCAAGGCCAGTAATCCATTTGTTAACCTGAGGAAAGAGTACAAAGGTATCTTCTGGCAAGAAGACATCATTCCATTCTTCCAGAACATTGTTCTTCCAAAAGAAGCTACCACTGTTCAGAAGTGCTACATCGAGCTCGCCAAAGAAGTCAAGGACAAACTTAGCAAGATTGATCCTTATTTTGACAAGTTAGCTGATGCTATGGTTACCTGGATTGAATCATGGGATGAGCTCAACCCAGCCGGAGCATCAGCTGCCAACGGCAAAGCATGAGTCAATTTTGGTTAGCTGCAAATTACTCTCACGTAATTTGAAGCAAAACTATTTCTATAACTATTTTTTAGTATTCATTTCAAGTTTTAATGTTATTCATGTATTATTAGAATTTGCAGCATTGTTAGCTGTAATTCTGTTGAGTAATTTCATGCTTTGAGTTTAGAAGCAATAAAAGAGTACGCAGTCTTAGGGCGTATGGCGAACTGAAGCATCAGGTTTCATGCCATACGAGACTCATAGGAAGGCTATTGATTTATGATACATTAGCTTCTGTTTCTGTCTCTGTTACTTGTTTTAACTTAAAAGTGTCATTTTTGTATCGCTCTATTTATAATAAGATTTGATTTATGACTCAGAAAATAAGTCTTTTGATTCAAATCTTGATTCTCAATTTGCATCTGTATTCAACTACCACAATGTCTAGTTTATTGAGGAGCACAGGTACCAGTCCTTTAATTTGAGGGAGCTGATGTTTTCTGAAAACTGTCTGATATGAAATTAGTAGTTGAGATTCTTTACTGCTTGTAACTGCTATGACAGGGAATTTGGTCTCGACATGATAATGAATGCGGCCAACATAATGAGTTAGATCTAGTGAAAGCCAACTTTAATTAGTTTCTGCATCATCTGGTTTAACATGTACTTTAGACAATGTATTCTCTTACCTCATCAGAAAAACGCGAATCCACTTTTGAACATGCTCCTGAACCATTATTACTTGAAATGTTGCATTCTTCTTGAATGGTTTGTTTGGTTCTTCAGCTTCACAATCCTTATTAGGTCTATCATCCTTAGGTAGAGATGAATAAGGTCCATCCTCAATAAGATGTCCATGGAAGGTGAGTTAGGAAGAAAGCATTTTCAAAGATAACAAAAACAATGTTTTAACAGTGCAACCGAACGATGTGTGTTCATTAGGATAATTTGGTATATATTGTGTATGTTGTTTTTGAGAGTGATGCATGCAGTAGTTGGAGTGTCATTTTGATCAGAAAGGAACTAAATAACTCTCCCTACTAAGCTTGCTTGATTCAAACTCATTTCTCTGACTCAACATGGAGACACAAAAATTAGTTGGCAAGGTGCAGAGAAGTGAGAGTGTTACCTAATATGATTAAGATGTGTTCACATAAAAATTATAATATCAAATTATGCGTGTTTGCGGCAGTTGGGGTCGAACATTTGCACCGACGCTTATGACTATGTTAAATTTGTCTATTTTTTTTAAAATTATTATCAATGTTGTGTGTCAATGTTGAGATCATGTTTGAGGTGTCCGTGCTTCCTAGAGTTGGGGTCGAACATTTACATCGATACTTGTGATTATGTTAAATTTATTTATTTTTTAAAAATTATTATCAATGTTGCGTGTCAGTGTCGAGATCATGTTTTAGGTGTTCGTGTTTCAGAGTAGAATTGAATTCAAATCTTGTATCTCTTATGTAAGTTTAAGGTCTAAATTTTGAGCTTTGTGATTTGAGAAATTGTGATTGAAATCAGAGTAGTCATTAGTAAGTGTTTTGAGACGGCTGCGAAGCCCATAAATAAGTTGCCTTAAGAAGAGTAGGCATACTCTTTTTCCTCCGTGTCGCATGCAGAGTATTCATCCCGAGAATATCATGTCAATCTTCTAGATCAAAAACAGTTTAGACCTTGTATCTCTTATTTAAGTCTAAGGTCTAAATTTTGAGCTTTGTGATTTGAGGAATTGTGATCGAAATAACGGCTGCGAAGCCTAGAAATAAATTGCCATAAGAAGAGTAGGCATACTCTTTTTCCTCTGTGTCGCATGCAGAGTATTTATCACGAGGATATCATGTCAATCTCCTAGAACAATAACGGCTAATCATGTCTCACGCGCATGCAATAGCCAACCATCTCCTCTATTTAAAGAGGAAAATGTTCTCATTCAAATTTTACTTTTTATTATCGTACTGATTTGAACGTTGAAATGTTGACTTTATAAATCAACCTCCTCTCTACCGATTAAAAACCGTGAACCATCACAACAAACTACAAATTCACTCTCTCCGAGCATCATAGAGTTCCATAGCATAACAGTAAGCATTCAAAAACTACATTTGAATAGTTATGTTCACTATGTAACTCCAAACTCCACCTTATTTTAGTCAATTGCTGTTGCTTTAAGAAATGAAAATTTCAAAGATAAAACATCAAATATGTCACAGTTATACAAGTATATAAATGTGCCAGTACCTAACAACCATTAGGTAAGCCATCACTTGAATTTCAAAGAGGATTTTCCTCAAGCCTCTTATTCAAACTCCATGGTTATAACATTGAACTGAAGATTACTACATTCTCATTCAAATAAGGTTGCTAAACCTTGCAGCAGATTATCATAATTTGATAACATCATCAAAGGCACATTCAAGGAATGAGGCTTCTTATATCAGCTCTATGTGTGACTGTGCTATGCTCTTGTGCAGGTGTTGTTTATCTTTCACTTCACATTTTCTTGGCTTTTCATTTTCACATTCATATTCAACTGATTTCTTAAACGCATTTTATTTGTAGTGGCGTATGATCCTTTGGATCCTGACGGAAACATAACGATCAAATGGGATGTTGTGTCATGGACAGCAGATGGCTACGTGGTCAGTACAAACTTCATCCTTATTTGTTTTATACAAAACCGTCTTTGAGGGCCTGCAAGTCAGGCTGCCGTATAGGATCTAAAATTTGTCACGATTTAATCTTGGTTAAATAGGGCCTATACTTGTTTTGTCATAGTTAAACTGCGACAAATCTACAGAGTTTCCAAAAACCTGGTTTTATACTAGTATTGAGAACATGTGCAACGTACTAGAGTAAATTCGTATAACTAACTTGATTCTACGCGTTGCATCTTTTACCAGGCGGCGGTAACGATGAGCAATTTCCAAATGTACCGCCACATAATGAATCCGGGATGGACATTAGGATGGTCATGGGCTAAGAAAGAAGTTATATGGTCAATGGTAGGATCTCAAACAACTGAGCAAGGAGATTGTTCTAAATTCAAAGGAAATGTGCCTCATTGCTGCAAGAAAACTCCAACAGTTGTAGACCTTCTCCCTGGTGTACCTTACAACCTACAATTCTCTAACTGTTGTAAGGGTGGAGTTGTAGCAGCATGGGGACAAGACCCTTCATCAGCTGTTTCGTCTTTTCAAATCAGTGTTGGACAAGGTGGTACTTCAAACAAGACAGTTAAACTTCCGAAGAATTTCACTCTCTCGGCTCCCGGACCTGGCTATACTTGCGGTCCTGCAAAGATTGTTCCTTCCACCACTTTTCTCACCTCCGATAAGCGCCGCAAAACTCAAGCACTTAGTAAGTTTAATTACATTAGATTAGTTTTTTAAGTCTGATTATGTGTACACAGCTGTTTCTCACATGTTCTATAACAAAATTTTTGCAACGGAATGTGTGAAAAGAAGTGATTTTGTGTGCAGATAATAGAACTTAAAGGTTTCAACTATCATCAAAGTTTAACTTTTTTTGCTTTCTACTTCATGCAGTGACATGGAATGTAACATGTACTTACTCACAATTTCTTGCAAGAAAGAACCCAAGTTGCTGTGTATCTTTGTCATCTTTCTATAATGAGACTATTACCCCTTGTCCTTCTTGTGCTTGTGGATGCCAGAACAAGAAGAATTGTGTCAAGTATAGTGTGATTTTTCTAAGCTATTAATGATCTTTTGTTTCTAAACAATGTTTTAAAAGTCGGGTTAAACTAGCTGGTTCAACTGATTAAACCGAGGTCATATAGGCTTTCTGATTGGTTTGATCCCAATAGAACCAGATTGAACTGTGGTTGAATCTCTTGAATTGGTTGAATTGGATTGGTTCAACCGGTTTTTATCTTTTACTTTTGGTTTAACCAGTTAAACCGTCTGAGTCAACTAAACTATGATTTGGAAATTCAATTTCTGGTTCAATTAGAAAAACTAATTATTTTCTCAAATGTTGGTATGGTATGCAGGGGTCATTCCAAATTCCTGGACATGGTAGGGTTACATACACCAAAGAGAGACAATGAACCATTGCTACAATGCACTCATCATATGTGCCCTATCAGGGTACATTGGCATGTGAAGGTTAACTATAAGGACTATTGGAGAGTCAAGATAGCTGTGACAAACTTCAATTATAGATTGAATTATTCTCTTTGGACTCTTGCTGTACAGCATCCAAATCTTAACAATGTCACACAAGTTTTCAGCTTTGATTACAAGCCTTTGCTTCCCTATCAATCCATAAGTAAGTTTTAGCAAATAGATCTCTTAAGAGTTTTCGAACATGTATTTATAAATAGAGAAAGTCCAACCACAATTTTAAACATGGTATCAGAGTTAGATTTAAGATCCGTTGAACCACCTGCTATCAAGTTTTCGCTATCAGAACACCCACCATTTATTTTCATGCTTTAGATGTCCATTCAAGTCTGGATGTGAGTGAGTGTTTTAAGAATCTCACATCAGAAAATATATAACTTAAACATGTGCTATCATCCTACAAATCAGTTTTGTAAGAAGTTAGGTCAAACCATAATTTCTGATTTTGTAAGGAATTAGGCCCAACCACAATATCATGAAATTGAAAGAATTTATTTATAATCATTTTGAATTTGTTGCATGATATAACCACTTATGAATGCTTTTACAAGTTAATAAGAGTATGAATGATAGTTTAAGTGTGTTTTTTCTTCTGTATACAGATGACACAGGTATGTTCTATGGCATGAAATTCTTCAATGATCTCTTGATGGAAGCTGGACCAAGTGGAAATGTTCAATCAGAAGTGCTTCTTCAAAAGAACAAGGACACATTCACTTTCAACCAAGGATGGGCATTTCCTAGAAGAGTTTACTTCAATGGTGAAGAATGCATGATGCCACCACCAGATACCTACCCTTACCTCCCTAATTCTTCCCCTGTGAATGCCCTCAACTTCCAAGCATTCATTACCTCATTCCTTCTCTTGCTAGCTCTTTGGTGAATTGGTACATAAACATGTATGGATTGTCATGTGAAATTTTGAAGCCAAATATTGTTATCCTCAAAAGTGTGTTGCCGTGTGAGCGTAAGTGTTTTCAGAGTGTCTGTGCTTCATAGAATACAATGCTAAAAATAATCATAAGCTCTTTCAGAGAGTCTCAAGTCAAAAAGTGTTGAAGTCATTAGATAAACTCAAAGGCAATCTAAACATACACAATATTGATTCAAAGCAAGATAAGAAAAAGCAATACTATAATTCCAATTAGAAAGACCATTAGCATTTCAAATTCACACAAGATTCATCAAGTTTATATTTTCATGTAATGTTGCTGTATATATTTGTTATAATTACAATGAGGATACATGTAACATTGCATCACCGAAATCGGTTTGATCGAAAATTTTCTTTTGCAATGATAAAGTATAACAGAGGTTTGAATCTTAAGTGTATGCATAGAATACAAAGACTACTAAGGAGGTTATCGATAAAGCAAACAACGAAACCTTTTGCCGAGAACCAGCATTAGGTAACCACGGATAAGCATCGGGCGGTGGCATCACACAGTTGTCACCGTTGAAGTAGATTCTGCGAGGGAACGCCCAACCCTTGTCGAAAGTGAAAGTTGATTTATCCTTTCGGAAGAGTAACTCGGATTGAACATTGCCACTAGGGCCGGCGTGATTAAGAAAATCGTTATAGAACTTGATTCCCCAAAGCATTGCTGTATCATCTGTTAAACACAACTCATATCAGTATTACGGTTAGAAAAATGAGACGATTTCTGTACACAACTTTCGCGAATGCAGATTAAACATGAAACGAATAAGTTAGGAAAATACTTACTTATTGAACCATAAGGATTTAATGACTTGTAGCTGAAGCTAAACAGCTGAGTAATATTTTCGAAGTTTGGATGCTGAACAACCAAGTTCCAATCGGAATAATTCATACGGTAATTAAAATTCGTAATAGTAACTTTCACACGCCAGTATTCCTTGTAGTTAACTTTAACATGCCAGTGGATTCGGATCGGACACATATGGCTAGTACATTGAACCAAAGGCGATAAACTATTCTTTCCGTTACCAGAAACAACCGATGCCAAATGCGGCGTATTTGGACTGTAACCACACAAAAAAATAAAAAAATGAGTGTACAAATCAAAATAAGAAGGAAAACACAGTAGTTAGAGTAAGAGAAACATACTTTACGCAACTCCCCGACTGAGACGCGTTACTCTGGCAGCCACACGCACATGTTGGACAAGGTACGATGGTTTCGTTATAGAAAGACGAGAGGGATACACAGCAAGTGGGAGTTTTCTGAGCTAGAAATTGTGAATATGTGCATGTAACATTCCACGTCACTGCAATGAATCAAAACAATGGTAAGAGGCAGAGGAAATTTAGATAAACATATCGAAAACTGCGAAACATGCGTAAAAGATGATTAACTTACTGAGTGCTTGTGTCGTTCTTCTTTTGTCGGGTTGAATAAACTGAGTAGGTCTAACAATTTTTGCCGGCCCGCAAGTGTAACCCGGTCCGGGTGCTTTCAAAGTGAAGTTTTTTGGGACTCTAACAGTTTTATTTGTGGTTCCAGCTCTACCGACACTCACTTGAAACGACGCGACTGCGTTGGTAGGATCCTGAGCATATGAACTAAGCACCCCGCCTTTGCAGCAATTCGCAATTTGCTGATTGTAAGGTGTTCCGGGAAGTAGATCAACGACGGTTGGGTCCTTTTTACAGCAATGTGGTACATTTCCTTTGAATTTCGAACAATCACCTTGTTCAGTGGTCTGCGATCCCACCATGGCCCAGATTACCTCCTTTTTGGCCCATGTCCATCCTAGCGACCAGCCAGGTGCGGCAATGTGACGATATTGTTGGAAGTTGTTCATTGTAACAACCGCCTGCACAATCAATTGTTTCAAATGTATCTCAATAACTAACGGAACAAAAATAAACACAATTCATTCCTAAAGGCTATGACCATTAACCAGAACCAGGACCAAGTCCGTCTTTGAGAGCGTGCAAGACGGACTACACACAGAGCCTAAAATTTGTCACGGTTAAACCTACCTAAATATGCCCTCAAAATCTTTGGCACAGTAAAACACAAGTTATATTTGTCATAATCAACATGATTAAACACTTATAGCATAAGCGTTTATTAAACAAGTGCTTATGTATAAGCTATTTTTATAACAAAATCAAACTGGCTTCATAAGTTATCTAAAAGAGTTTATGGAAATAAGTTGAAAACAGCTAATGGACATATCATAAGTTGTTTTCAACAAGCTCTCACAAACAACCAATCTTACAAGCATTAATATCAACAGATAAGCTCGAATAAGTCTATCAAAAGTGATTATTGTAAAAGAATAATACTTACAACATAACCATCCGGTGTCCAAGTTATAATATCCCATTTGATTGTGATGTTCCCATTTGGGTCAAGTGGGTCATAAGCTTCTGAAAAAGTTAAAACCACCAACAACAACTATATGAGTTAGAATGTAAAGTGATTAATGTTTTAGATAAATTTTTGCAAAATCAAGTTAAAAAGTAAATTTCAGTGTAAAAATCACGTTTAAATTCAAAAGCTACAAATTCTAACATCAAGTAGAATCAATTCTGGACGTCATAGTCAATTCTATTCGAGAGAAACCAAACATAAAAATAACTTAAACATATTCATAAGCTATTTCTATAAGCACTTCTAAAAAATAAAAAGTGCTTATATTAGTAGTAAATAACCTCAAATAAATCAAAATAAACATCCTTAAAACACATTCCAAACACCAAAAACAGAAAAATCCCACATACATAGTAGTTCCTACTATTAGCTGGAAACAACAAAAGCCAAAACAAAAATCACACAAATTTGTTTTGTTTTGTTTCATTTACAAATTCCATAGCAAGTATCAACAAATAAACATCATCATCATCAACAAAAAAAGCTACCAAAAGCTAATAGATGATACTGAAAAATTGAAAATTTATAGAAACTAAAATTCTTACTAAAAATCCATAATTAAAGAAAGAAAAAGTGAACCTGTTGAAGTGAAACAAGTGCAGGAGAGTAGAAGAAACAAGAACAAAATTATACAAAGTGGTGTTGTTTTTGATAAGAAAGAAAAACCCATTTTTTTTCTTGGTTGAAAAATGTAGGTGGGGATTATGAGGTTTATAAGAGAAGAGTTTAAAGTTTAAGATCTGTGGAAGAGACGAGAAGACTGGGAATAAAGAAAAAGAAGAGAGAGAAAGTGATGAGAGAGAAAGAGAGAGCAGAAAAACAGAGTATGTTGTTGTGTCTCCCAGTTGGATCCTCTCTGTTTAAGAAAGGTACATAGTTTAGTAAAATGACCATGTTTTTCTCTCTCTCTCTCTCTCTCTCTCTCTCTCATTTTTATATATTTAACATTTTATTTTGTATGAAAATAAAAAATATATTTTATTGAATTGATTTTAAATATTAATTTCTTATTTTTGTCTATTTACAAAATTGATTTTTATAACTGAAGAATAATTTTAAAATTTTTTATATTTTAAAACTAAAAATGGTGATGTGTTGTGTTTTAAATAATGTGACACAAGATAGCAGATATGAATTCTTATAGATGGACAAATTGTTTATAGATTATTAATTCAATTATAAAAATTTAAAAATTTATAAGATCAAAACTAAAGGTATAAGATTTTGTTTGCAATTTAATAAATGATAAATCAAATTATATAGTAATTTATTTAAATATCTCACTTCATAGTTTTTAAATGTTAGATTCTTTCGGAAAAAAATCATTTATAAGATTTGATTTTACCATTTTAAAGTTTTGATTCTTTTATAAAGGAGTTGTTTGTATGAATATGAAGTTAGTTGGGATACGATGATTATTGAAAATAAGTATTAACACTTGAAATAATGTTTGATGTTGAGGGGTATACATGTAAATACTCTGATATTTAAGTCAGTAAATATTTAAGATAAAAAAAATATTTTATGATGGAAAAAGAATGTACCTTGATTTGGCATTTATCATATCTTTTATAGGTGAATTTTAGAATTTTTAAGGACATAAGATCTTCTTGTGTAATATAGTTATCAAAATGAACATGTGTTAGAGTATTATTTATTATGTCATCTATTGATCATTCTGCAGTTTTTCTGGATCAAGTGTTTTCTTAAAACATGTTTATGAGGTTTAAGAGGCTTCTTTGGGTTCATAGTTGGTGGAATGATGTCTTGATCTAACGTCATGATCATCATCTCACATTCTAATTAGGTGACCATTTAGTTTTCATAACAGTTTGCGAGCCTGATATACCACAATAGGACAGTCGTTCGTTGGGACACTAAGTACTCCTTTGGCCTAGGAGGGAACAATTTCCCCCAAGCCAAGTCTGACATGCGCGAGAATGGCTTGTGATCTTAGACCATCTTTTCTTATTTAGTCTTTGTGTCCTTAGGTCTCGTTGAAATGACTTGTTCGTTTAATCTTGAAATTTTCCTTGTTCTTGGTGAGGATGAAAAGACGCTTCTTTGTCTTTTTCCGTAGGATTTCAACATATTCTTTCAGCTAGTATGAATGTTATAAAGACGATTTGTTCTTAAATTTATTGAATGTTGAGTGGTCTTTAAGTCTTGTCATACATTGGATCTTATTGAGTTATTATGTAGAGACTTTTGTGTTAGTTAAGGCTATTTTGGGTTTTTTTTCTTAGTTCTTGGTGTTTTGTTTGACGTAATGTGTCCTCTAGGTTTACTCTTAGGGATTCTAGCTACGTGACGTAATTATTAGATCCCTTTTTTCTTCTTCTTATCCTTAGATGTGATTATTGTGGTATGAGAAGACATAGCTATGATAATTTGCTTGATCCAAGTGTCTCTTTGTGATTGTTCTTTCTAAAGTGTCTCATTGTGATCGTTCTTTCGATTTTGTAGTTGTCTTATAAATAGAGTCTTCTTTAATCATTTAATATTTTGTTCTCAAACTA